GCTGGAGTCCAGCTGCGATGCCCCGGTCCTCCCCGGCGTCCTCAGCCCCTGCCACCTGCCACCTGCTCGCTGGGGAAGGTAGGTGTGGGGAGGGGAGAGGTAGTCGGCGGCACCTGCGCCCAGCCCTAAGAGACGGCTCAGAGCCCTTCCCCTGGGACCTTGCCCCAAACTCTGGGACGGAAAGAGGTGAGAAGTATTCCCCTCAATCCACAAAAAGGGAGATTTGAGAAAACCTGTCCTGTCCACGTGGACTCGCAGCTAGAAAACACCCGCGAAGCGCCCAGGGCAGAGCCCCAGGCCAGGGCAAGGTCTCCGGTGGGAACAGTCCCGACCACAGCAGAGCCCCTTCTCCTCCCCTAGCCCTTTGGAGCTGGCTGCAGAGGGGAAGGGCTGTCTGAATTCTGGGGAGTGGAGGTGGGGTGGGGGGAGCTCGAGGTTTCCTGGCACCCTCTGTCCTCTGCTGGATGTAAAACCAGTTTCCCCCATGCCTCCCTCTCCCTATGAGAAGCCCCCCTAATGTCCCTTGACCAGGCTGCCAAGCACAAACTCAGCCCGCCCTCCCACACCCTCCCCTGCATGTTCCTGGAGCTGTGCCACAGGGAGAGGTAGACTCTCCCCCCCCTCTCCGCCCCAAGGATCAGCAAGCCCAGAAATGCTGTGGGGGACCTCCCTCCTCAGGGAGCACAGCAGGGTGGGTCAGATGGAGGCTGGGAAGGAGGCAGGGTCAGCTGACAGTAGGGACTGCTGATGCTGATCTCGCAACTTGGCCACAAGCAGTCAGCTGGGCTGGGAGGGGTTGCTGCTAGGAACCAGTCTGCCCTGGATCCCATCTCCCACTCTCTCTGCCTCGATTTCCCCCATGAGGGGAGGGAGAGCTGCAGGGACTGGGTGTGTCTGCATGTTTTGTTTTTGGTAGGAGCCCTAATTGGATGCAGCTGGTGAGCTGCCCCTCCTCTGGCCTCCGCTCTCCACTTCTCCCCACAGGCAGGGTGGGCACAGGAAAGCCATGTCCCCAGTAGGTCTTTCAAGGGTCAGAAGAAGTCCCCACTCAGACCAGAGACAGGGAGTTGCACCAGCCTTGTACCCTCCAGCCCCCAATGGCCTGAGCAGGGACTGGGTACAGGAGTAAGCACAGCCCCTCTTGTACCTGCATCCCCTCTGTTCTCCGTAATTCTTGTGCTGCTCGTATGACCCGCACCTCGGAACTGCACACTCCCACCTACAGCTGACACCCTCTGTCCTCACAACCCCATGCTGCTCACGTGCCCCACACAGGGTGGTACCCCCACAGGTCACATGCACAGCACTGCACTTACCTTCCACCACATGCACACAGCACCCCGCAAGGCCCTCACAGCCCTCCCAGGAGCCTCCAGACCCCTCAGGCACACACAGGCCTAAAAGAACAAAAACACCAGAGTCGGTCCGGCCCTAGAAGGTGCTGATGGTTGGTTCAGCTTCTGGCCCAGTCCCACCCGCTCTGCACCACCGCTCTCCGGTCGGAAAGCCCTGTTGGTCAGCCATACCACCTCCATCTCCTGGATGCCTGAAGCCCCTTCCTCTGAGCTAGCATTTGTGGCGGGGGAGGGGGGGGTTCAAAGAACCCGGCTGGCCAGTCAAGCATGTTGCTCCCAGGAAGACCCTCTGTTGAAAAACAGCCTGAGGTGTAGGAGAAAGTGGTGTGTGTGTGTGTGTGTGTGTGTGTGTGCCCCCACCCTCACTGGCACCTTGAGCCCTCTGAGGCGCAGTTCAAGCCAAAGAGGCCAAACAAGGGAGCGGATACTCCTCTGAGCTGGGGAGTGGTTCCTGCTGCCTGGAAATACCCCCACGCGCTCCCCCGTGGCCCTGCTGGGCAGTAGGCGGCTGGCCTTGCTGTGGCCCAAGGCCTCTCCCCAGCCCGAGGAAGCCCTGTGCCTGCTGGTGAGCAGATGCGCACAAAGGGCCTAGGGGAGGCAGGGGGAACTGAAAGTCCTGCGTGCCTAGGCCTCCTCCGCCAGCTGCCCCCGTTCCCTCTGCCTCCCTCTGGGGGAATGCGCCGCTTGTGTAGTGAGAGCCCCAGAGGGGCTGGCCAGCAGGCCGGCCAGAAGCTTTGTCCCGCAGGCCCGCTCCTGGCCAGCCTCCCCTCCTCCTCGCCCGGCCTCCCCTCCCCCACTCCCACCCAGAGCTCCTGCCCAGCCTAACAAGCAGCCCATTGTGCCTCTGGGAGCCGGCACTGGCAGCCTGCAGGCGGGTGCCCGGAGTGGCCTGTTTCCTGGGTCCTGTAGCTCCCACCCAGCTGGCCCTGACGCCCTCCCACAGGCGTCCCCTCTTACCCACCCGGAGGTCAAGCCCAGAGGGCACGGCAGCTGGTCCAGCAGGGCTTCCCCTTCCTCCCTCCTTCCCCACAGAGGACGTGCAGAGGAGCTGCTGGCACACCCACAGCCCTCTGACCTCGACCCAAGTATGCAGGCCCCACCCTGCAGCCACCCAGCGGGGCTCAGCCTGGACGACTTCATCCCTGGCCACCTCCGGGCCCATGTAGGGTCATTCTCCAGGGGGACTCGGGTGAGTGAGACAGCAAGGGAGAGGGTTACTGTGGGCCCATAGGTGGTGGGGACCTGGCAGGACAGGTGGGGAGCAGGAGGATTAAAGGACTGGAAGCTGGGAAGGGGGTCAGAAGATAGCTCTAGGGAGCCTCCCTGATTTCCCGAAAAAGGATCAAGCTGGCCCTGGAGCCCTCACCATGGGGTATGGCTGGGCCCTGGCAGCCATCCCTGCCACCCTTCCATGGAACCTTCTGGGCCTGAGCTGCCGCTCCTGGCCCCTCCCCACAGGTGCCTGTGATCCGGAATGGTGGCTCCAACACCCTTAATTTCCAGTTCCATGATCCTGCGCCCAGGACTGTGTGCAATGGGTACTTCCCAACCAGGAGAGAGGCTTCCCGGCACCCAGGTGGGTCTGCTCAGGAAAACCTGGTCCAGGAGCCCGGGGGGGGGAGGGGGGGGCAGGGCCCTCAGAGCTCATCTCACTGCCCCTCCCTGGGTGAGCATGCCAGCCCTTGAGAGTGAAAGCTGTGGGAGAGAGGCTGACACATCCTTCCCCTTCCTCCCCGCAGTGCCCGGGGAAGGAAGTGTGCAGGGGACTCTGCCCTGGGGCTGGGGGACCTCCAGCAGGACAGGGAGTGGCTCACACTGGGGGTGGAAGGGCGAGGAATGGGAGCACATGTGGGCTGTAGAAGGGTGCAGGGGCTGAACCCCACAAGGGCCCTGAGGCTGCTGCCCAACACAGGTGGGCAGGCAGCTCCGAGAGCCTGTCAGCTCCTGGGCTCCTGTGAGTCACCGCAGCCTGGGCCACAGGGTCCGAGGGATCCTGGGACACCCTCCGTGCGGGCCCACCGGGGCCCTTCTGAGGAGCTGGCATCCTTTGTTGCGCATTCCCGTGGGGCAGGCACTCTGTCAAGGAGTTTAATTCCTTTAGCAAATAATTGCTGAGCACTTGACCGTGCTGAGCCCTGAAGGGATGCTTCACAAGCCTCATCTATTCAATCCCTGCAAATTATGGACATCTTCCCAGTGAGGAGCTGAGTCTCAGAGGGTTCAGTCTCGGAGGCTGAGCCCCTTAGGCTGCTGCCCTGGGGGCTGAAGGGTCGGGGAAGTTGAGGACACGACAGCCACGTCTGGTGAATAGTTCTGTCCCTTATCGAGAGCCTCTCTACTGCGTGCCAGGCACTGTGCTGGGCACGGTCACACCCTCTAGAATAGATCCCCCTGAATCCTTCCATGATGACCCCCTTATCGAGAGCCTCTCTACTGCGTGCCAGGCACTGCGCTGGGCACGGTCACACCCTCTAGATCCCCTGAATCCTTCCATGATGACACATGAAGTGAAAACGGAGGCACTGGGAGGCTGATTGTTGTGCCCAAGATCACACAGCCAGTAGGGGGCAGATCTGGAGTCTGAAGTCAGATCTGTCCCCTCCAAGCCCAGCACCTTTTCTGCCCCACCCTGCTGCCTCCCAGCTGGGACGGCCGGGCATTCTCTGCAAGTAGTGATTCTCAGCCCTCATTCTGGAAGCTCTTAGGTCGGCCCCAGGAGAGCAGAGCGGGGTGGGCACAGATGTCTGAGGACAAAATCCATTTTTATTCACTTTAACTAAAACATAAACAAACAGAGGCCTGTGGTCCTGCTGAGATGATAGCGTCTGCCTCACCAACTCCAACAGGCAAGGAGATGTTGAAATGTTTAAACCCAAGGGCGTCAGTATTCTGAAGAACCAAGGGACAGACAAGGTCAGGTGCGCCCCTGCCCGTTGCTAATGCTCTCATGCACACCCTGCAGACCCTGCTTGGTATCAGACCTGGCCAGGCCCTGGGAGCCGGCCCACGGGGACCCAGAAGACCCCCGCCTCCCAGCATCCCCAGAACTGGTCAGCCACATGGACCAAGGACAGCAAACGCCGCGATAAGCGCTGGGTCAAGTACGAGGGAATCGGGCCCGTGGATGAGAGCGGCATGCCCATTGCCCCCCGATCTGTGAGTCTAGAGCTGGGGACCCACGCTGAGCACTTCTGTGAATTAAAGTTGGGGCAACCAAGGCTGTACCCAAACATCTCAGACTAAAGCAGGGGTTCAATCAGGATGGGTTTCAGGGGTCGTGAGCCCCGCAAAATCGCAGGCAGTCATGTGTCTGAGTTGCACAGTGGTTTGTGGGGTAAGAGAATGGCCCCCTGGCTCTCAGCAGTGGAGGGCCACTGCTGGCAGGGGCCCCTCTTAGATTCTAGTCCCAGGGCCTGGCACAACGTTCATGACATGGTTGCTGAGTGGATGGCTGGCTGAATGAGTGAGCACAGAGCCCTGAGTGGTGAGCGTGGATGGAGCCGGGCTCCAGACTCCCAGCGGCTCTGCCCTCCTCTCCCCACCAGCCTTCCCTCACCCCTCCATGCCTGTCTCAGCCGGCCACCTGCCTTTAGTTCAGTTCACCATCTCCCCATCTGAACCTGAGGTCAGTAACATACCTTTCTGCCTTCCAGGGCTGTCCTGAGTCTCAGGTGAGGCAGGGGATATGAAATAATATTTCTACCTATATTACTGCATTAATTTTTCATGACATAGAAGCACGTGTTCTTTGTAGAAACATCAGAAATATAGAAAAGCAAAGTGAAAAAATGTGAACCACCCCAAATCTCTGTGTCAGGGTCACCACTGATGGAGATCCTTTCCATATCTTATTCCTATATAACACCCTACACGAGGTCATTGCCAGTAAAGACATCACATGCCCCACCCCCTCCCACCACCACTGGGGCTCACAGGAGAAGGGCCCAGTAAGGGAAAACGTCTGTGGCTTGGTATTAGGAGGGTGGCCTGACGTTGCCTCTTCTGATCCCAGAGTGTGGACAGCCCTAAGGACTGGTACCGGAGAATGTTCCATCAGATTCACCGGAAAATGCCAGGTGAGACACCCTTCCAGGGCCCCCTCCCTACCGCTACCACAGTGGGCTCAGCTCAGGGGGCTTCGGAAGGGAGGGGCCGAGAAGGGAACTTGCCTGCTCAGGGAGCTCTTCTGCACCCACCCAGGCTCTGTGCTGAGTGGTTCCTAAAACAGGCACAGGAAGTATCCTCCAATCTCCTCCCTGTTCTTGGGGGCGGAGGGCGGGAACAATGACCAGTATCCTTTGAGGGTATTGGGCATCCATGAGGTCACTCATTCATTCAGTTAGTCCCGTGACCATGTATTGAGCACTTACTGTGTGCCAGGCACTATTCCAGGCGCTGAAGATAAAACAGGGGACAAACAAGAATGTCCCCGCCCCAGTGAAGCTTAAGAAAGAGAGAGACAGAATAAGCAGATAATAAGTACTCAATACAGCAGCTGGTGGTCAGCACCAGGGAGCAAATGGCTGGGGTTTACCCAGTGCAGGGAAGGCCCCTGCTAAGTGGCATCAGAGCAGAGAGCCCAGGGAGTGAAGGAGTTAGCCCTGCTGGGCGGGGGAGGGGTGCTGCACCCAGGGGACCCCAGAGACCCAGGGGCAGAAGCAAGTCTGGTATGTTCTGGAATATCAGGGAGAGGCCAGAATGGAGTGAGGGGACTATGGCGGGAGATGGGATTGGGTCCCGGAGGGCCTTTGAGGCCATTATAAGGAGTTTGGCTTTTATTCTGCAAGAGCTGAGCAGTTCTGAGCAGAAGAGTGACATGCTCTGACAAGTGATATCTGGAAAGGCTCACGCAGGCTGCCAGGTGGGAAAGAGAGGGCAGGTGGCAGCAGGGGACCAGGTAGGAGCCACAGTGCCTCAGACCAGGGCCGCAGCAGCAGGCCTGGGGGATTCGGAGACAGAGTCTTGGGAATTTGCTGATGGATTTGAAAGAGAGGAGTCAAGGCTGACTAACCTGACCAGGTCGAAGGATGGAGCTGCCACTTATAAATGCAGGGGGGACTGCAGGAGGCGCAGGTGTAAGAGGCGCCGTTTCAGATGTGGTGCATCCAAGGGCAGTTATGACACAAGTCTGTAGTTCGGGGCCACGCCTGGGCTGCAGGCAGGAATACCTGGGATTCATTCAGAGAGATTTTGATGCAAATCCGCCCAAGTATTCTAATGTGCAGCCAAGGTTGTAAATCCCTGGAATAGGTGTTATCTTTTATGCCAGAAGATTAGATAAGATGACCTGGGGAGAGGGAGAGACAGAAGCCCAAGGGCTGAGTCTTGGGACTGAGTGGTTCCCGAGGTGAGCAGGACTCAGCCACACAGACTGAAGGGGCAGCCGGCGGCAGGGGGAGAACCAGAGTGTTCTCCCTGAAGCCAATGGAAGAAGCACTGCAGCCGGAGGGAGGGACCCACTGTGACAATGCTGCTGACGGGCCCATGCCGTTGGCTATTTGATTGGTCGTATGACGGTCACTGGGTCCTTGAGAAGAGCAGTCGGGGCAAGAGTGGTGGGGCCGAGCCTGCTCCACAAGCAGGGAATTGGGGGCAGTGAGTGAGGGGCAGCCGCTGCTGCAAAGGACAACAGAAAGCTCCAGAGCCAGAAGAAGGCCTGGGATCGGAGGGGTATTTTGGTTGGCGTTTGAGGAGCTGTTGGGGCACGTCTGCCTGCCTAGGAGACCGAGTGGGTTGGCTGATCAGTGGCTTTTCCTGGGAGGCCCCGGAAAGTCATGAGCACCGTGAGGAGTGGGTCTGGGCAAAGGGGGGAAGAACACACCTTTAGGAGAGGGTGCAGAAGGGGCAAGAGGGAGAAGAGGAAGGGCCTTTCCCTACCTGAAGTGGTGAGGGCAGGTCTGTGAGGTCAGGGAGAGGATATGTATGGGAACTAGGGAGGGAGGAGCAGGAATTTGGCAAGTCCACTGCCCTGGTTGGCTGGCTCAGGCCCTAAGTCTGCCAGAGGCATTTCAAACCCTCCCCAGAACTGCCCTCCTAATTCCTCCCCTCCCTCGGGACATTCTTCAGGCCCTGACTCAGTCCCTTGGCCCCCGCTCTAGGCAGGAGGGAGGCTAGGAGCAGCTGAGGCAGCCTCACAGGGCACTCCGATCTCGCTTGCTGTCCCATCCCTGACCCAGTCCTTTCTGCTTCCGCAGACCTGAATCTGGACTGGACCTTCGAGGAAGCACCCAAAGGTGAGGGGGTGGCCCGCTCAGCCTGGCCTTGAATTTGACCTTCCCTGCAGCCACACCTGGCTCTGGGGCTTCCCAGTTGGCTTAGTTCAACCTGAGGAGTTTGTATGCCCATTTCCGGTAAGCTCCCAACCCCTGGCAGGTGGCATTCAAGAACCTCTGCTTCCCTGCCCAGTGAATGCCCAGCCCTGGTGGTGATTTCTCTGGGCCTCTCTTTCCTGATCCCTAAAATGGGGACACTACCCACCCCAGAGCTGTTTTGAAGATTTCTTAAAGAGAGCAAAGCTCTTAGTGCAAAGCCCACACTAAGGGATCCGGAACACCACCCTTTAACCAGGAGCTACCCAGAACTGAGGGTGGGCATGGGTGTCAGAACCTCCAGTGGTCAACCAGGTGACCTTAACCCCTGCTCTCACCTCCCCGACCCTACCTGTCTTCTCCCACCTGCAGTGGCTTCCTCCTGTGCCACCTCTGCAGACTCAAGGTGTCCAGGGCCCCAGCAAAGACCTGCATCCCGGCCAAGCCAGGCCTCCTCTCTGAGCGGGTAAGCCGCCACGGGGAAGGGGCCTGAGGGCTGCAGAGGGGTCCTGGCTTCCCTGTGGGGACTGGCAGCCCCTGGTGGCAACAGCTGGCACAGCTTCAAAGTAGGAAGCAGGGGATCTGGCTCCCCTGACAGTTCAGCCCCTTCTCAGGATCCCCACTACTCCAGACACTCCCTTCCCCGACAGGGCCCAACGGGAGTGGCAGGCAGGGGTGGACTTTGCACCCATTCCTGTTCAGGACCCCATGATGCTTTTGTGGTTGGTAACAGGATTATCACCCCAAAGATCCGCAGGTTCTATGGGGTGGAGAGCCGGGCGTCCCACGAGTAGGCGTGGATCTGTGGCCGTCGCCCTGATGCCTGAGAGAAAACAAGGGGTGGAGGGTCCAAGTTTCCTCCCGGTGCCGGTGCCGCGGAGAGGGGAGCCCCTCCAGGGAGGTGAAGGGTGCAGCTGCTTTTCTCTGTGCAAACCACACAGGCCCAGGCCCGGCTGCCTGGACCTGGAGGGGTTCAACCCCACCTTGGGAATGAGGGACTTTTCCATCAGTGAAATCAATGAGCTTCTTATTCTTTTCTGGGCAAGATTCACCTCGTTAACATAGCCATACCGACCAGGCCTGTGGCTCTCGGCATCATCAATAAGATAGAGGCTATGAGCTCAAGAATTGGGCTCAGGGTTCTGGATTCAAGCTGGTGTGCCTTGAGCAACTTAACCAACCTAAGCCTCAGTGACACCATCTGTTAAGTGGGGTCACTGAGTGGTCATGAGGATTAAGGCTCATAGCAAGTCTCCACAAACATTATTAATATAGACTTAATCATGACAAGAGCTTCCTTAAATGAGGAACGACATATTCCATTCTCATTATCACCAATATTATTTTGAGAATAGAGAGCAGAGTCATGATTACAGCCAACAAATCCTGACCCTGCGGTCAGACATTCCATCATTTGATAAGCTTGGTACAGTCATTCCATTTAGTGAAGACATCCAAATTCAACAGAGGCTGGGACCTTTAAGCCAGCCAAGAAGGGAGCCCTGGAGGGGACTAGGACAAGTGTGATGGCAGTGCCTGGAATGTGGCTGGAGTGGCCTCGCAGATGAAGTCATGAATTCAGCACCCTCAGAGCAGGGAGGCCCAGGGCTCTGAAATCACATGCCCAGGGCTCCAGGGTCAGGGCTGCAGGCTTTTTTCCTGCCCCGGCTTTTCCTCGGACTAGTATCTAGTCCCACACCCTCGGGCACAGGTGCAGCCAAAAAGACCAGCTTCACCAAATAAGCACTAACATACATAGCCACAGTCACGGGGCAGACTGAACGCAATTGCAGGCTATGCACCAAGGCCAGCAGGAAAGGGACTGGCCCCTCGTGGAGCAGATGCATGTGTCAGGCCTAAGCTTCACCACACCCTTGCGTGGGTGGGAATCGTTCTGACGTTACAGGCACTGAATCTGAGGCTCTGGCAGTTCAGTCACGTGCCAGAAGGTAGCACAGCCAAGTGGTGGAGCTGAGATTTGAACTCAGAGCTCATAACCTTCCACAAGTTAACACTGCTCCCGAGCCTGGGGCAGGAGAGGACAGGGTGCACTCCCTCCACCGGGGCTGTGTTCTCACTTGTGTCTCCGTCTCCCTAAGAAACGCCCTCCCCTTTCTCTAGAAGAAGCTGGGACCCCTCTGAAGAGTTTCCTAGAAGCACCTTCAGCTGTAACCCTGGTGCATTCTCCTCCCTGCCCAGGACCCCACATCAGGTAGCCCCCCAGCTCCCTCCTCACAGGGTCCCCAGCGCCTCTCGGCCAGGTCCCTCCGTGAAAAGAGCACAAATAATGCCCTTTCCGTTGGGGCCGGTGCAGCCGGGCGAATCCAAGTAGGGGACTGGTGGTCATAGGGGTGGGGCAGTGGCCTGAAAGCCTGCCCAGGGTCCTAGTGACCCTCTACTCAAGCCGATGCCTACCCACCTCCATGCAGGTGCCCAGACGCAGAGAGAAAGCAGATAATGTCTGGGCAGAAGAATCTTGGAACCAGTTTCTGCAAGAACTAGAGACTGGGCAGAAGGTGAGTGTGGGCCTGGTCCTCTGGGAGTGGATGACCCTCAGCCAGTGCATTTTGGCAAGCGAGCTCGCCCCCCCCCCCCCCCCCTGACTCACCCTCCCATCTTCAGCCCAAGAAACCTCTGGTGGATGACCCTGCTGAGAAGCCCTCCCAACCCATTGAGGTGAGTGCTGCAGGGAAGGTGGGGGAAGGGGAGACAGCAATGTTGGGGGACAAAGGAGAATCTCTGGGTGATGTTGGCCCCAGTGACCATGGGCAAAGGACGCAGATCCCACAGCTCCCATCCTCTCCAGCCCCACACAATTCATCTTTGTATCCCCAGCACCCACCACAGTGCCTGGCATTCAGCAGGCACTCAAACATGCATGGAATAAATGTATGTTGACCAAAGCGGGAGCAGAGAAAAGAGTGGTCAGTGTGGCCTGGAATTTTCAGGAAGTATTCTTAGAGGTGACGCTGAGCTCTAAAGAGTTGGGGGGGGGGGGCTGGGCTAGGCAGAGGGCGCTCAGGATGGGGAGGCGCGGAAGCAAAGTCTGGCCGGCAGGATGGGCAGTGGTGGGGAAGCAGGTGGGTCCAGTGAAGCCAGGCCGTGGAAGGCCACGAAGACTTGATGGGAGAGAAAATGGGGATCCCTGCAGGCTCCTGATTAGATAAGGAACCACAATAATTGGCACTGGGCACAATCAGGAAGTCCTCAGGGACTATCTTGGGAGTACCGGATGGCTGCGCCTGTCCTGGCCCGGCGCCCTGCGCCCTGCGCCCCCCAACCGCGCACTGCTTTCCCTCCCCCGCTCCCTCTCCCCCGCGTTCCCACTGCCCGAGCCTCTCCCGATCACCCGCCGCAGGTCCTGCTGGAGAGAGAGCTGGCCAAGTTGAGCGCGGAGCTGGACAAGGACCTGCGGGCCATTGAGACCCGGCAGACGTCTCCCAAGGTACCGATCTCCCAGTCCCCTCCCGGAGACTCTGCGCCCAGGAGTCCGCAGCGGCTGGGCTTGGGGGAGCGGGGCTACCAGAAGTGTCCCTCCGGCTGCACTCAGCGCGACCTCTGGCAGACTGCACCCCTGTCTGCGCCCTCCCCTCTCCAAGGCTGGGCGGGACTTTTCCGAGTGCCTCCTCCGAGCCCTTCCAGGTCGGCTCCGCGCTCAGCCCCAGACCTTCCCCCCCCCACCTCCCCCGGAC